ACCAAGTTTCTGACCACTAGCTCTACGATTTGATGTTTTGGATTCTGTTGCAGCTGAGGAAAAGGAATCACCAAAGAAGGATGACCAAAATGAATTCCCATCACTTTCACCATCCTTTGAATTGTCCACATCTGAAGATGTTTTCCTTGCTGATTTTGAGGCAGAATGCCCAGATAAAGCAGAAGATGATTTTTTACGTGTTAAATTATCCTTTGAAGACGTGCCTGAGGATAATGATGGGGAAGACTTTGGTGCACTTGAGGCTGAATTGAAACAATGAAAACAATGTATATTAGAGTAATTGAACAAATTTTCTTTCTTAATACTTAAATTGCAACATAACTTATAAACAAGAAAGACTCTACAGCTGCACCTCTCAACTAAAATCTGTTTCCTGATTAAAGGAGAATGTATTGTGTACTGTGGGTCAAAACGAACTAACTCCTATGGGAAATAACAGATTCACAGGAGTGTGTGTCAGCCTGCACTGATAAAAAAAATTGCAGGTTGCAAATTTCCAAACAAGTACTGAAAGAGAAATTCAACAGGACAAGACCTAAAAATCTACTGATTAAGAGAAGGTGTACTCATGATTTTTCACTAAAATTTTCTCGAGAACTTGATTTTTCAATTTCAATCAAGGCTTGTATTATTTTGCAATTGAGCCATAAAGTAATACTCACATATAATGTCTTATTTTTAATTGAGAGGTAAAACAAAATTTGTAATGATGGGTTCCAGAGGATTCAGGTAGTTTTTTCCCTTGACCCTTTGTTGCCCTTAACGTTGTTGAGGTCTCAGGGAACAAAATACAATGTTTCCTCTGAGGGTTTATCATTACTCACTCAGATTTACAGTTGATTTGCCACCATAACAAACTCTCACTCTGACTTTTTCGTTATATGTAGCCTGTCATATGAAGCTCACATTAAATGAGAGCTAAGATGTAGTAGTACATTGCAAAATGCTAAAGTTTTATTCCACTTAACGATTAACGTTCCATAATCAAGAGGCTACACATAACTTCTGTGTTCCTTTCCCTTTTCACAATGTACTACTACATCTTAGCTTCCATTTAATATAAGTTACATTCAACAAGCTACACATAACGAAAAAGTGAAATCGCCACCGGTGGCGATTTGACTTTCAGTGATGGCAACTTTTGTGGTGGCGAATTTGTTGTAGTAGCGAATTGACCGGTAATTAATGCACTAATATCACCCTTTTCTACCTCAAGTAAACAAGTTTTCACTTCGGTAGTGTCAAATTAAATTGTAGGAAAATGAAACACTGCCCTCGGTGACAGGTTTAAGACTGAACACAATATAAATTGCCGTTATCGACCGAATGTGATAATATATCTCATATATCTCAAATGATCATCATGCAGGTTCTTAACCTTTCACTCCCCTAGTCTAGGATAGCATCGGGCCCAAGCTTCAACGCTCCAACAACAGTATACAAAGTATATGCAAAATTATCAAATAAATAACTAAGGATAAAATTACCCGAAGATTTTGAAGCGGCACTGTTTGTTTCATCTTGTTCGATATCCAAAACCCTGTCGATGGATTTTTGTGCTTGAGATAAAGCTGTTTTAGCGTAAGATGAAAATCCTGAAGTATCAAACCAGCTCATGGCAATAATATGGAGTTTTTTACAGCATGTACATCTTGCCTAAGGGATACTTTAAAAAATTTCCAGGGAAACAGAAAAAGATCTGGAAAAAAACGCTATCCACGTATGTATGCGACCGCCATGTTGTTTACCATTGACATCATCACGAAGGTGTAATACTGGGGCTGAATGTGATGCATTGTGGGCAGAAGAATTGATCATGGCGGAAAAGAAGCAAGAAGCCCGTATTGAGTAGCCAGTAAAGAAATTGGGAAGGTTTTCTGCAAAACTAACTTGATATGGCGGCTAAAAGCTGCCGAACCTTCTTTAGATTGGCCAGCATCCAGGTAGGCCTTTATCAGTTAGGAAAACTCCTAAATATCCTAAAACTCCTATGTATCTGTTGTTACTATACTGGAGCATGAAAACGTGTTTTTAACCTCATAGCAGACGATATACTGCATAAGTTTTACGTTAAAAGACAACAGATAATGACACTCGTTTTCACTTCTCTTATAACCCCACTCATGGGACTACCAGAGCATTGACAATAGTTTGTTAATGTTTCCTTTCGAAACCAAAATCATAACTTTACTGGTTTGAATGGATATTGATGGTTTTATTCTTGTATCTTTACAGGGTGTTGGCCATGTTGGACAAATAGGAGTTCTAGGTGGTCATGGTGTGTCATGTTTTCCTGCCATGGCGGCAACACCCCCTATCACAAAGATTCTTGGTGTCAGTTGTGCATATCAAACAAGAGAAAAACTACAGAAAAAGGCCAAAATTATACCGAGCCACAAAATTGGTGTCACCAAAGGCCACGACTCACATCACACAGGTCCTTTATGAAAATACATTGCATCAGAAAGAGAAGTTCTAGCATTAGCACTCAGAGTGCATAAAATTGACAAATTGATAAAAAAGTTTAAAAAATAGGAAATGTGAGTCTGTCCCATGCAATACTGTGAAATTCTTTTACTTGTATAAGACCACAAAAGTCATTCAGAAAAGAGACACTGATCTCTAATGAACCATTCTCCGATCCCATTCTCTATGATCTAATTTTGGACCATGTGAGAAGCCACTGAAAATGATACAACATTTTTTTAACCCTTTCACTCCCAAGATCTAATTAGTAATTCTCCTTACTATCTGCTATAAAATTCCTATGATGCTAGTTCAGAGAATTTGGTATTGGATCAACCAATAATCCCATGGTTGACATTCTTTTCTATTCAAGTTAAGCATTAATTTTTTTTTTTTAATTCTGGCAAGTTAAGCTCAACTACACTGAATAAAATTTTCCCTTTTTTATTGTAAATGCTCAGGGTGCTTGAAATTACTCCCATTTTAGTGCATAAGTTATAAATCTAAAGCAAGATATCAATGTTTTGATGGGAGGCATTAAATATTTTGTAGTTAAATGGGATTTAACATAGTTAATCAATGGGAGCAAACTGAACAGCATTTTACAGGCATTCTCTGTCCAGCGATATTCCTTATCAGTGCACGCATTGTTTTCCCATGTGCTTGCATTTTGTTCCCTGCACTATAGTGTAGCAGTCTTTTTGTTTAGGGTAGCAGTTCTCTGTGTTCCCTCCTTTCTATTTCCAACTGCAAGGTTTCTTGACCATGGATTTGCTCAATTTTCAACTGTAGGTCAAATGAAAATGGTTTTTTATCAGAAAATTGTGATATTTAGAAACACTAATTTTCTTAGAATGAAATATATATATACACAAATATATTTGAATTGAAAGCAAGTCCATTGTTCTTTCTTTTTTTTTTATTTAGGAAATTTAAAGGGAAGTTTGTGGGCATCAGAAAGGATGATGGATGACATTATGGTTCGCAAGTTTGTGGAAGGAGTCATGCATGAATATTTGGTTTCTGAGGTTGTCATCAAGAGAAAGGCAAACCGCATTAACATTGTTTTTCTTGTGCCTCCGGTTATGAACTTGCCAAAGTTTTACTTCCTTGTGGGATTTACAGAGACACTACTTACGGAAATGCTGGAATGTATTGTGAAAGTGGAGTGTCAGTCTACAATGTAAAACACTTCTTTTGAATTCAATCTTCAAATTTGGAGAATCTTAATATGCTTTTCATACAAATGGGGAACAACCCCCTCTAAAACTGTAGTAGTGATGAACTTGCATGCTCTTTTGCAGTCTATTGGCTTTGAAATGTAGGAAACTCAACATTTACTGAATGTTGAGAACCAAAGAGACATTTGATAGAGTGAATAAAATAAATCATCCTTAGTTCTTTCAAGGTTATCAGGTATCAACCCTGTCTTTTAGGTGAGGTTATCTCATCCCTAGCTTTGCTAATTAAATTCACTGACTAGGATGGCACCCCAACAGCGTGGTGAGTGATTGGCAGCAACACTTGTGAGCATGGATCCACGTGTGGAAAAGAAGTAAAAGCCCATCATCACCCAGTTTCTTTTTAACACAAAAGCCCAGTCTATGGTTATAAGAGTTTGTTACAAGAGTTATACATTACGTGAACATTTCACGTGCTTCACTTTGACACATTTCATACCCTACCCTTGTTGCCATGTTATGCCAGCATACAGACACTGTGTGGATACCCAAGTTAAGGAAGTTGCCAATTAGCCTAGAAAATTATACAATAATGTGGTTTCATATCAGTAAGGAATGAAAAGGGGGACATTAATCACAAGCCCAGGGGTCTTCATAAGTGTAATCCTTTCCTGTTTCCTACAAAGCGGCTTGGCAGATTGCTCTTACTGTAGTCCTGCTTGATGCTAATCCATCGAAAGCTTTTGTGCGCTACTCTCTTCATTCTTTTATTTCATTTTGTTCCCAAATATATTGTAGAATCCGTGAATTATGTTTAGTGGATAAATATGAGTTAGACACTGTGTGAATGAAATGCTGCATCCTCTAAGCATGAACAATGCACTTCATTCTTGACGAAAAAAATTGAGTTGGAAGAGTACACTCTTGACGATTCGCGGAGATAGACGGCTTGAGATCCAGCGCGCTTAATTGAACAGGGAATCATACTGCCTTTTCTCTTGACCACTAAGAGCCGATGATTATATTTCATTCACCAATTACCGGTACGTGGTAGTTTTAATTGCGATGCTGGTTGAACGATTGCCAATTTGGAGATTTGTTAGACCCTTGTTAACAGTCCATCAGCATATATATAAGACAACATATCTTTTCCTCAAAGAAAGAGTGGGGTTCAACTAAAAATGATGTTTATGTGAAACATTGTTAGGGAATAGCTGTCCGAGGTCATGCATACTGCAAAAATAAATTAAAACTTTTTATTTCTGGGCAAACAGCTTACAACGCAGTAGTCTGGGAAAAAGATTATAAAAGGTCTATTCAAGAAATCCGATCTCCGAAATAAAAATAGTTGGGTCATATTGTATTTAGAAGAATCGCGAACTCCCGGCGCGAATAATCCAGACGGAGGTTTGCATTTCTTTCTGTCTTTGACCAAAGGAAAAGCGGACGGAAAGGTACTGTTACTTCGATTTTATAGCTTTATTGAGCATCCAGTTCGTCCCGCAAGATTACGACTGATTAGTATGTTGAAACGATTATTGAAACGATTAATCCGGATTGCGTAGATCTTATTCTGTTCAGATGTCCTTCATCAGATCGCGCTTACGAGTTTTAACACGCTGAACGCCAAAAAAACACGAAAAAGTGCGTTAAGGAAGAGCGAAAATCCTAAGACTATATCTTTTAAATAGACATAATGTATAACTGCGCGGATCGTGAGATACAACACAAATATTGAGGTAGATAACTTAGAGATCAGAGTTCTCATTTGCAGAATTGCTGTCAAAAACATAAAACAGATGGGTAACATGTTTTTTTTAAACTGAAAATTTCTATATTGTGTAGAAAAAGCTGTGTTGGGTCATTTATTCTAAATATCTCCTAGGTTTTCAATATGTGCTAGCAAATTTTCTTCGTGCATTTACATCAGATAAAAACGCGAGTTTAGCAAAGGTCAGATCCAACGACAATGAAAAATTCCATTTTCACTGACTGACGTAGGCATGTATTGCATTCCATGGGATATGTGCCCAGTACCAAAAACAGTTATTACTCCGTCGAGCTAAAACATCGGCGCAAGATGAATTTTAAATGATTTTAAAAGAAACAAGTAAGTTTGTTCTTTTTCACCAAAGACTAGGGTGTTTTTTTCGTTACCCGACTGGTCGATCACCTAGACGCTTGCCTGCGATCAGGCGCTCGGTTTTTTTTTTATCGGGGAGCGTGATAGTGAAGTCCGCCTCACTACACATAACGTTTCTCGCAAAAAGAACATATGATCGCCGGTTACCCTCCCCAGTAACTTCAGGCGGGAACAGGGTACGGTGGTCATCATTAAAACCACCCTTACCAATTATTTATTACAAACACACGATGTTTTGCAGGACCATGCATCAAGCACTTCAAATTTTGCTGGTTCTGTTAGTGCTCCTATTGGCCAGGACTCAGTCACGCCCTCTGGATGAACTTAAAAATGAAATCCAGCCAACCACTACAGCATGTTTAACTCCAAACTGCTTGTATGACTCCAAATGCTATGCACACGAAGAAGAGATAAGTCATGGATCAAATGGGGAAGGATGGTGTCATGGGCTGTTATGTAATGATGGTCATGTTGTCACATGGGATGACTTTGATTGTGGTCCAGTTTCCACCACACCTCTAACAACAATGACACCCACCACCCCACCTAGTCTCCCTGTTACAACCATTCCAAAGTCCGGGTGCATGTACAATGGCATTTGGTACGAAGAGAACAGTGACATAGAAAAAGGGACAGATGGTATGGGGTGGTGCTATGGATTGTACTGTACCAGTGGTGGAGGGATTATTGCATGGGATGACTTTGACTGTGGCCCTACAACAGCTCCTACAACAGCTCCTACAACAGCTCCTACAACAGCTCCTACAACAGCTCCTACAACAGCTCCTACAACAGCTTCCACGATAGCTCCTACTACAGCTCCTACTACAGCTCCTTCTACAGCTCCCCCACCACCTCCCCCATCAACAACACAATTAGGTTGCCTCCAATATGGTGTCTGGTATGCCCCAGGCAGTGAGATAAGTAGGGGAACAGATGGGCAAGGTTGGTGCTATGGGGCAATTTGTACAGATGATGGTCAAATCCAGCTATGGGATGACTTCAATTGTACATCACAGTCTACACCCACACCCACACCTCCAGCTCTGCCCAAAGGTTGTTACTATGAGGGGAAATGGTACCCAACTGGTGTCTTTGAAGGTACTAATAGCCGTGGGTGTAGGTTTGGAGCACATTGTGGTTTGGATGGCCAAGTGATAGATTGGGAAGAATTTGACTGTCAAATCAAGAGCCAGTGACAAGAATTTCACCTAGAATTCATGCTTGGCTAACTAAGTCATAAATATTAGAGACAGATAGTCTGCATGGGCTATGGGTGTAACATTACACAGTAGCCTATGATAATACAGTATGCAGTTCACAGATTTGAATGCTTTCTCATTTAAGATTTTCACAAATGTGTAATCACTTCAATAATTGTTTTCATAGATTGACAAACATTAGAAATAAAGCTGTCCTCTCTGGAATGTGGTCACTCAGGAATGTTACTGACAAGCTCAAAGCAGGGTATTTTGCCATATAAGAACCCAAAAGAATCCTGTCAAGGATTTTTTCATCACTTCACCCATGCCCTTATGGTCTTGAATAGATATTATTTTAATCATGAATGTTCTCAGAGCAGAAATATCCTACTTAAATTTCAGTGATGGATTAATATTATGGTAGTGTACAGAGCCATACTTGACTTAACAGGTAGGTGAGTTCTGCACACAAGCCAAATCAATTCAGCAAATTAAATATGTATCAAGTTTTTTCTAAATGAGACAAAAAGTAGCCATCCAATGTAATTATTTCTCAAAAATTGCTTTATTGAGAACATTAACAGGTACACTGACAACAGTGTGTACTGGTTCATGGATCTGAACAGGTTAAATTTACCTTGTGAAAATATTCATCACCCTTAATGTATACAATTTACAATACAACCAAATTGCCTGGAAAAATGGAAAACAGTGCAAACACAGAAGAGGAAGGTGTACAGAAGACTTCAAAAATCACTTCTTCTTCATTCAAGGAACTAAAAAGATATCACACATTACAGAGCATCATTACCATCAGTATGTGAGCAATTATAAAATGTCATTCTCCACTGATCTCCACTTTATATTTGGTCCAGTCACCACCTTCAGTGTGAAACCAAGCTGTAATAGGAGATAAACAAACATCCAAGGTCACTTCATTTCTTTACTTCCCTTTGCTGCACACATCTTTATTATTGATGTAGACTGACAGTAACGTTAAATCATGTTTTATGGACTCCAAATTGTTATTTAATTAAGATTAACCAAGTTCATTTAGTTAAAAGAAAATGAAAGTGTAGTTGCACGCTATAAAAAGGAAATGTGACATAGGGAGAGTACGGTTTATTTGTTTAGTAGTTTTGATTCTGTAGAGTTAATTGGAAGAAAAGTATTGATTTCTTGTCTTTGATGTGATAATGAAGCAATCTAGCCTTCCATACCATCTATTTAAAATATTTAATTCTTTGTCTTGCTCAGTGAATGCATTATTGCATAAATTGTCCTGCACAAGTTTCCCAATGGCCAATTCCATTCTACCTAAATTCAAATTGTATTTTTCTTTTAAGGTTGTTATCAAGATATCAACCTCAATTTTTCAGCTTCTTTTCTGTGATTTCTTTAATTGCAGCCTACCTAAAGCATCCCTCTTTTCGTTGTATTTCATTCACAGGAGTATTTATTTCATTTGATTGAGGACATCCACTTTTAATTGATCTTGTAGGTCACATGCCATGTATTTAAATAGAAAAGTGTACCATTTCATTTCCGAAATTTTGACTAAATCAAACATCTCATTTATCAAAAAGTTAGATTAATATACCTTTTTTCTTGTACTCGTTGTAATATTTTCTGTAGTCATTTACTTCTTTTCTGCAGTATTGTTTGGCATTGACTTCTTCTCTTCTGTAACATTCCTTGACTCTTTCTTGGTATATCTTCACGGTTTCCAACTCAATAAGTCTTTCTAAAGCCCAACGCTCTCGTGCATTATGAAATGCCACAGGATCGCTGCGGTCGATTTCATCAAATGTTGGAGATTTCATCCTCTCATCAAACCTCGTCATGTACTTCTCAGACATCTTGAAATCTTTGCTGAAATATAAGAAAATCCATCAAAAATAAAGCAAGAAGAATAAACTACATAAATTACATGTCTATCAACGATTCAAAAAAGATTATTTGTCGCAGTAGAGCAGCGAATAAGATTTGCAAAGGACCATGCCAGAAAAGGAATTATGATACTGAGAACTCAAGGTGGTTTTGGATGTTTCAGGCTATTATAGATATTCAGAGCTAAATAGGATAATTACGAGGTATTACAGATCTTTCTTAAGCCTACAAGTTAACTCTCACCTCCTCGTGGGATGAGGAAAACACAAGTCTGCCACCTTTTTTCAGCAAAACCTCTATCAACAAACACTCAGGATTCAAGATGGCTGATTGCGATGGAATAGAAAGCCATTTACGTCATGTAAGAGCAAGTCTGGTATCACTATTGTGTACTTCCGCAGATATCGTGGACTCACAAAATTAATCAGGGTACCCCACTTGGTACCCCCTCCGATTTGCGCAAAGACAAAGCTAATGCATCACGTGGTTTCGTCCTCTTTCCCTGTGCTCGTAGAAAATGGTGGGTGCCTCTCTGAGAAATGTGTTTAAAATCAGTCGGTTTAACTGTAATTTTATGACCATCTTGTCCAGACTGGTGCTTAGATCTTTCAAAAAGTGTTATTAGCTTATGGAAACTGACATATTTTTTTTACTTCTTCCGAAAATGTACGTTTCTCGTAAGGTTTTATATCGTAGGTGGCGTGTGGTTAACAAGCTTGAATGGACGAGTTATGAGCGTAGTACTCTAAAGTAGATCTTCGACTGCACGAAACCCCCATAATGTAACATGGAAAGTAAATCAGTCCCTAAATCGAGAGTTGATGCTTTTTTTTTTTTTTTTAAATATCGTTGCCTACCTTTATCCATCTCACTCCCGTCAGGTCGTATCCCCCACCATCTTTCTTGTCGATTGGTTCCTATGCCATTTTCCTCTTCTTCAAATCGAAGGTTTCCTACCTAGTAATATTCAGAAATAAACTTTTAGTGACTGATTTTATAATTAAGGCTAAGTTGGGCTGTTGACATTAGAAAGGGAACAACTGAATAATTTTATCGTATATTCGTGAACATTTCACCTTGCACGAAGTTGACTTTGGGGCAAAATCTTGCCAGCCGAGAAAATGAGGCAATTCCTCGTACATATTTCTTGAGGATATGGTTGTAGGTACACTGTAGGGTCTTGTTTGAATTGGGGTGGGTGCAGTTCAGTGTATTAAATCCATTCCTCTTATTTGATGGGCAACTGTGCCAATACTCCCAGTGACGTATACCGGGTCCATGGTGTAAAGACCTCTTTCTAAAACTTAATCCTCCTCTCAGTATCTCGTTTCTATTTTTATTTTCAAGTTTAGCCTTTCCTTGTTGTTTTGTGGTAGCATGTCAGATTGATTAGTTGTATATATTTGTGCATTCTTTAGTCTCATAGGAAGTTCAGAGCACCACGACACGGTTCCCTCGGCTTCTTGCCTCGTAAGAGGTGCAAGCATCATAATGGGAGGATAAAGTCCTTCCCCAAGGATGACCCAACCCTTCCACCTCATTTGACAGCTTTTGTGGGTTTCAAAGCTGGTATGACCCACATTGTGAGAGAAGTGGAGAAACCAGGATCAAGTATGTGACTTGAACTGCTTGCAAGACTCAAATTAAGTCTATTTATTAACATTAGACAGTATAACTTATCAACATTCCTTTTGTTATTCCTGTTTTGATAGTATGATAATCACTGAACATCAAGGAATGTCCTAGTCTTAGTTAAGTTCAGCAGGCTTGGACACATTTGGTGTCTTAATAATGAAACATAAATTTAACTTTAAACTGAGTTATTATTTGAAATACATACTTTTTGGGACATAGTTTTGAATTTGTCTCAAACTGCTGTCTTCCAATCGAAGCATCTTAGTGTATTTTTTATCACGGTGAAATTGTGTACGCAAGTGAATCTTCAATTGTTATCTTTTCCTTTCTGAACAGAGATCCATAAGAAGGAAGTGGTTGAAGCAGTAACAATCATTGAGACACCACCTCTGATGGTTGTTGGTGTTGTTGGGTACATTGAGACTCCCAGAGGACTTCGTGTCCTCAAAACAATCTGGGCTGAACATCTGAGTGAAGAATGCAAGCGCCGTTTCTACAAGAATTGGTATGTGTTCATCTTGAATGCAGTCATGTTATTCATTTAATCTAATAAATCATAAAAACAGTACTGTGTAATGTTCAAAGAAGCCCTTCAGTGACATGACATTTACTAGGAGATTTTACTTTTTTATCAACCCAAAAAAATGTAATTTAATAATTTTGATCAAAGATAAGGTATTGATATATAAACTAAGGAAACTCATGTAGAATGCACAACATACCAAATACTTGGATTATGCATGTGTTTTAGTGCAAATATTGTATAGTGTAGCATTTTTTTGGGCTTGTTTTTGAAGATAATTTGTTCATTTATTATTACTGTTATACTATTGTAATGTTGTGTTCTGTGGAGCACTTCTAACCAGAGTTTCCCATGAAGTGCCTTTTCTCCGCTCGGTACACCTTTACCGATGAGATCTGGCTCCCCTTTTCCTTCTTCTGTTTCATCAACCATGCCCATGCTGGTTTGTACATAAAGGTGCAAGTCCAAGAAGAAGGCATTCTCCAAGGCCTCCAAGCGATGGGGAGATGAGGATGGCAAGACTGCTATTGAGAATGACTTCAACACCATGAAGAAGTACTGCAAAGTCATCCGTGTTATTTGCCATACACAGGTATTTATCTTGTATAGGTTTTTGAAAAATATAATTTCAGGCTATTTCCTTATAACTCGTATTTGATTGGCTCCCAGCTAGTGTGGATATTGTTTTATGATACAGACAAAGGTCATTTACTATATCAAATAAACTTTTGTCAGTTATTAGGTATAAGTAACATGGGGAAGGGCATGGCAGGTCAAATTGCTTTCCTCTTATGTTCATGTAAATTAGCCTTTCTGGCCTTAACAACGACAGCAATAGAATATTTCTTCAAAAGAGAGCTCAAGAAGAATGAATTTTATGGACATTAAAGAATATTATTTATGCCTGCCATTATCAAAATAAAGTGTATTCTTTGCCTCTATGAATGTTTGATGCAAGTTCATCTCTTCTTCCTTAAAGGAAGCAAGGAAAGTTGATATATTCCAGAAGTTTAATAAGGGTGACGGAAATTCATTGAAAAAAATAGGATTTTATTTCGTTAGAACAAATGAGCTTACATAACCATGAGTGAATTTTCATTTTCAGGATATTTCTAAACTGATTTGTAGACTAAGTAAGGAGAGATTCCACATAAAATTTTTTATGGAAGGTTATAAATATTAATACATTTGAAAGAGCTTAATCCCCTAGGGCTAAATTCTATCAATTTTCTTTAATCAATTGGCACCCAGAAATGATGACTGACTATTTTTCATTTAGCCAGTGGACAGTGCCTTTAATTTTGCTTTTCCCTGACACCTCATTTCATTGTAATTCTTTAAAGTAAACATTATGTGGTTCATGGGAAATAAGTGTTCTTATTGTAATCTGTTCAACCTTTTGATAGCAAAAACTTGTGAAACTTGGCCAAAAGAAGGCTATTATTAAGGAGATCCAAGTCAATGGTGGTAAGGATGTTGGAGAGAAGATTGACTGGGCACGTGAGCGCCTTGAAAACCCTGCACCTGTTCGCAAAGTGTTTGCACAGGATGAGATGATTGATATCATTGGTGTATCCAAGGGTCATGGATTTAAGGGTGTCACTTACAGATGGGGTACCAAGAAGTTGCCACGCAAGACTCACAAGGGTTTGCGTAAAGTGGCTTGTATTGGGGCATGGCATCCAGCCCGTGTTTCATACTCTGTTGCACGTGCAGGTCAGTTTGGTTACCATCATCGTACTGAAATCAACAAGAAGATCTACCGTATTGGTCGTGGTATTCACACTAAAGATGGAAAGGTGGTGAAGAACAATGCCAGTACTGAGTATGATCTGACTGACAAGGCAATCACTCCAATGGTGAGTTCATCTTAAGGGATATGATTTTGAGAAACATCTTTTAGATACAGTTTAAATTGGAGAAAATAGGGAGTGCAATGCAACATGTGCAACCTGCAAGAGTGGCTTAACTGCATCTTGCAGGTCTGTTAAAAAATCATGACACTTCATGGGCTTAGGTCAAAGGGAATGGACCCAAATGCACCCTTAGTGAAGGCCCACTCCACTTTGAGTGAGGACTTACCTTGTGGGATTGACATCTGAACATAGGAAAGGAGAGCAGAATTTAATTTAAGCCTTTCTCGTGTTTGTTCAAAATCTTGTGAAATCTTTCTCAAACTTAATAAACAAATAACTTATGTGTGTGTTATTTGCACCTTAACAATGCTGTAACTCTCTCTTTGGCTTACCTTTAGGGTACTTTCCCTCACTACGGTGAAGTGAATGAAGACTATGTCATGGTCAAGGGATGTGTTGTAGGCAAAGTGAAACGTGTCCTTACTCTGCGTAAGGTAAGACAAGGATCTTGTAGCAACAAGCACCTCAATATTTGCGTTTCAGTGTGTTGAAGTAGGTATTGGCAATGTTAAAGTAGCATGTAAGTGTTAGTTGTACAGAGGTCTAATATTTTTCAGAATTGGAGGTGAACATGAATTAAAGAGCTCCAGAAGCCGGTGTATTAATTCTAGCAATGACCGTTTTGACATGTCATTCGTTCACAGTCATTGCTTGTCCAAACAAACCGTGCTGCCTTGGAGAAGATCCAACTTAAGTTCATTGATACATCGTCCAAGTTTGGCCATGGACGCTTCCAGCATCCTGCCGAGAAGAGAGCGTTCATGGGTCTCCTCAAAAAAGACCGGGAGAGGGAGCTTACTGCTGGTGCAGAGTAAATTTGTTTACGAGTTTAATAAAGTTTGGTTTGAATCCATCAGAATCTAATTATTTTAAATGTGCCTCCTAAAACCTTTCCCACCCATGAGTGACTAAGAGAGAATTTCTCCTCACAATATCAATATCAATATCAAGCATAGGAGTGATGAGAATAAAGTAAAGTATCAGTTGGGGATTATTCGTTGATCCAATACCAAATTCCTCAAATTTACATTATAGCAATCGTGTGGCAGACAGTAAGGAGAATTACTAATGAGATCTTTGGAGTTGAAGGGTTAATATATAAAGGAAACTCTCGCATTTCGACTATCAGAATGCTATCAACAAGCATTGATCCTCTTTCTCGCCCCTTCCCCCTCTTTCCCCCCGGCATTACCACCATCTCGAGCTGACTACATAAGTAAAAATAGACATCTGATAATTTACTTCATTTATTCGATACAAGGAGAAACAACAAGTGACGTTGTAAACGAGAGATCTTCGATTACTGTTCAAAACTGAACTTAATCCTAGAAAAACCAAAGTTGTTATTCAAAAGGACTTGAAGATTGCACAAATTAATATTCATTCAATTTATTTAACATTAAGCCACCATCGTTGAGAGGATCTTCTATCAATCACATTTAGGACGAAGTAATGAGTCTGCGACGAAGAGCTTAAAAGGGAAAATCCTCAAAAATACGCCTAGTGTCCTACGGTTTAAAACTAATTTGGGCTGGAGCAAGTTGAATGTTAGAAGTTGGTGTCTTAATCTAAGTTAACTTTTTTTCCAAAACAAGACAGTAGCAACTCCATTTTGTCTATTTACACTTAATGAAACCTTGCAATTAAGCGAGGAAGAAACATCTTGATAAGTTTCCGAACCTATAAAGAAGTTCCGTACCCATTAACTCCTCTTAGGTTAGAAACGTTCGGTACGGCTACATAATAAAGAAAAGAGATCTTGGTCTTCGTTGTTCAGTGGAACATAGCCATATCCTTTCGCGGGTTGGTAATGGATGTCTAGTCTCGTTTGTGTTTGTAGTCAACTTTGTGAGAGCCAGTAACGTGGATGGTGCGGTTCTAAACAACCTGGACAACGGGAAGTTGAAAGAAAGGCTTTGTATATCGAGGAAGCGGAACTGTTTGGTAATAGTTTATTGAGGCAACGATCACTCCACTCTTATAGTTCCAAATAAGTTTAAAATAAAACAGTACCGCCGATCCA